TGATGAGGCGAGGGCTCACGTTCCAGGCGTCGGAGGAGGGCCGTGACCTAGGGATCGACAGAGCTGCCGCGGGTGCGAGGCGCCGTGCAACGCACATGGACAGGCGCAAGAAGGCCCACAGCAGGATGAGAGCTTTGGGCAACAAGCTGCGCAAGTTGCGCAGGGAGAGACGGGCGGCGCTGCTGAACCAGGGGGCGATGCCTTCGCTGGGGTACGGCGCCAGGGCCCGCGGCGAGCCTCCCTCGGCTGTCACGGCGGCGCGCCGCCGATATGCTGCGGGATTGGCGAAGCCGAGGGCGGGGCGCTGCCTGACCTCCTTCCTGGCCCTGGAGGGGAAGGACCCAGCGCTGGAGCTCCCCAAGATGCAGCTGAGGTCGTGGTTCGACCTGTGCGCGCACAGGGAGGATGTACGCAAGATGACGGAGAAAGCTTGGCCGCTGATCTACAACCAGTTGCTGAAGGTTCCCTCGAGCCGCCGCTGGCGCAGGCGACGGGGCGCGATGGCCTCACTGATGCTGACGCTCTGGGAGGCAGGGTGGACGCCACATTCGCCTACGTCGTGGACGGGCCCCAGAGGCGACGAGTGGACCATGGCTCCTGGCGCTGAGAAGCGCGACCCAGCTGATGTGATCGACGCGGTGTTAGATGATATTGCAGTCAAGCTCTGGAACAAGGCGGCAGGTGGACATAATGCCGCAGGCCTGGAGCAGGGGGTAGACTTGAGCGATGCCAAGCTGACCCTCAAGAAGTGGAGACGTGCCAAGCCTGCCATGGCTAACGCGCTGTTGCAGGCTATGACGGCGGGGACGTGGACGGCGGCGCGCAAGTGCGAGGTGCTGGGTGAAGAACGTGGAGGCGATGGGCGCTGCAGCTGCGGGGCCGTGGGGGATGACTTCCACCGCATCTGGGGCGAGTGCCCGAACCGCCCGACTCACGAGGACTTCGAGAGGACAGACTGGTTGAAGCCGAAGGCGGAGAGCTTCCATGCAGACAGCCCCGCCCTGTGGCTTCGCGGCATAGCGCCGCGGTCGTGGACGACCCCACCGCCGTGCGACACGGTCGAGGAGCTGTCGACCTTCGGCGCGGTGGGAGAGGGGCGCCTGCCGCCCAGCGGCGGCAGGCACTTCGCCCGCGGCGACGGCAGCGGCGGCGAGGAGGCGTCTGACGCCCGCTTCCGACGCTGCGGCTGGGGCTGGTGCTTGCTGCGCGGGCCGCCTGAGAGCCCTGAGCTTGTTGGCGGCGCTAGCTCGCCGCTCGCGGGGCCCCGTCAGTCCAATACTAGAGCTGAAATGATGAGTTTAGTTTCTGTGCTGAGGTGCACATCAGGTGAAGTTGAGTTTTGGACAGATAGTGACATCCTTTTCGAGGTTGGAACAGGGGTCGCCACTTGAGACCCGCAGGTTGGAGTGTGAATGGAGACCTGTGGGAAGCCCTTGGATCCGAGCTCCAGGCGAGGGGTGAGTCAGTTGTCACAGTGCATTTTCTGAATAGCCACCTTTCGCCAGAGGATTCGTTGGCTAAAGGAGTGCCCATGCTGGCGTGGATTGGCAATCAGGTGGCCGACCATCTCGCTGCTGCCGCCGCCGCCTCTCATGCCATCCCGCCCGCTCGCCTCTCGTGCTATAAGTGGGCAGTCTCGACGCTCTGTCTTGTGCGACTCCGCATTGCGCGGGCCACGCTGACCGCCTTCGAGACGGAGGAGCGCCCGCCGACGGTGCGCGAGGTGCGGAGGGTCGAGCGCAGAACCAGGCCATCCGCCCTCGCCCGTGCGCAGCAAGGCAGCTCCCATTCTCTTGCGGATTCTAAAACACGTTTTAGTTGTCTTGATTGCCGTAGCAGTGTCAGTAAAGCATCTTGCAATAATGTGTGTCAGAATTGGCTTTGTTCCCAGTGTCCTGGCCCCCCCCGCCCCGAGCCCGCACGTGCACCTGTGGTTGTGGCCGTTGGCACGCGTGTCGTCCATCATTCGCATGTCATGGCCTTTTATGACCCATATTGGGTGTGCACAAGTTGTGGCGGCAGGGGAAAGGAGGGAAATGGCCATCTTCGGGACCTGGCTAAGGAATGCAGATGTGTCCGAGGAGAGAAGCCCACCAAGATGGGGGCTTGGGTCCTCCAGCGTCTGTCTGATGGGAGGCCACTCAATTGAAGTCCTCCCCAGCATAGCGTGCTGACAGAGTCAGATTGGGGTAATCCTTGGGTAATCCTCCTCCTCCTCCTCCACCTCCTCCTCCTCCCCACACGCTCCTCTTTCTCCTCCTCCTCCTCTTTCTCTTTCTCCTCCTCCTCCTCCTCCTCCCCGAAAAAAAAAGTCAGCGCATCGGGCAGGTGGGACGGGCAATTAGGACGTCCGATGCGGCGCGAGCGCACTTGGCTTGCTCCCCCTTTTCTTCCCTTCCAGACCCCCGGCGTCATGTTTTTTTCCATGACGTCGACCCTATACAGAGTTCTGGACCCCCTCCCGGGGACCGGCTTTCCTTCCCGAGCCATTTTTGGACGGTCCCGATTCCGGGCATGAGGGGCCTCTGGAGGCCGAAAAACGGTGAACAAGCGCCTTCCGTCGTGATGCTTTCGTGGCTCGAGGGCGTCCAGGCTCCCATCCCTTGCCCTCGGGGGGGCATACCGCCGTGGAGCACCAGCGGTCCACACATGGACGCCGGCGGAAGCGCAGGGGCCGCGCCTCGCCCACCTTCGGGATGCCGCGGCTTCGCGCCCGTTTCGGCCCCAGGCCCGTGGCCTTGGGAAGGTGCCAGGCTCAACCCGGGCGTGCCCATCTGCAGCAGGAATATCCCAGAAGAGTCTTAAGAATAGCCAGGGGAGGCTTTGTTTGCCTACCTTCGACCATGTTCTTTTTTTTTGGTGGCTTTGGTGGTGCAGTCGGGGCCCTGAAGAAGGAACCCTTTTCGTTGGGGAGGGGCTCCGCGTTCCCTAAGTGTTTCGCAGCTTGCCTCGGGTTTCCCTTATGTTTTCGATCGGAAATCGAAGTTTAACTCATGGAAAAAAAGGGGTTTCGTTCCTTATTTAGGGTTCCTTAGGTCAACGCCTCGACTGTATTTTTTTTTAGGTTTCGTCCAAGATACACCTGCAGGGGGACACGCCCGACCCAGCGCCGGGCCCACCTGCGCCCCCCCCCTCTCTTCGGCACGATTCGTGGCGCCTCCCGGCGCGGGGCTGCGCCGAGAGAGCCCGCGGCGTGCGCTTCTCTGCTGACCCCTCCTGTGCTGCGTTCCCTGTCGGTCGGCTCGACGTTCCCCTTCTGTCGACTAGACGTAAGTGTGATCTTTCGCCGGAGTGACCTTTGGTGCGGGCACAGATGGGTCCCCAGATGGCTGACAACGAAGCAGTAGCAGCTGCTTGCGCGCCCAGGTTTGGTCCCCCAGCGGCCCCCCAAAAGTCGCGCACCAAAGGTCTCTCTTACCCAGGGTCACTCTTGCGTATAGCCGATTCTTGAGGGGGGCGGACGCGTGGAGCCCTGGACCCTGGTTCGCACGGAGGCCATCCTGGCCGCGGCCACGAGGAGTTTGACGCGTGTGTACGTGCTATGGCCCAGGATGGCCGCGCCGACCAGGCGTGGTTGTCCGACGAAGCGTGCTCTGGGTGGGATATTAATCGAGGGGCGGGCGACCAACATCCCGACCGTGCTTGCCCATCCCCCCCCTCCTCCACTTCCTTTTCCTCCTCCATTCCTTTTCCTTAAAGCTTCTCTCTGTCGCGCCCCGAGCCTTGTTTTATGGGCGGGCTGGGCGTTTTCACTTGAGACTTCCTCACCACTTAGGACTCTGAAGCTTTAAGCTTGGCAACAGTGTCACGGATTGAGGGCGGGTCGTTTTCAACATGTGGTTCTCGCCTTGGCGCCGCGCACATTCGTTAAACATATTGCCCGAGTTTCACGCATTGGGGGCGGGTCGTTTTCAAAGTGTTGTTCTCGCCTCAGCGCCGGGCACATTCGTTGTAAAACGTGGCAACAGTTTCTCGGATTGAGGGTGGGCGGTTTTCAAAATGTGGTTCTCGCCGTAGCGCCTCGCACATTCGTTTTCAAACATCGCAAGTGGTTCACGGATTGATGGCGGGTCGTTTTCAATTTGTGGCTTTCGCCTTGGCGCCGCGCACATTCTTTTTTGGGGGGAAGTCTGCAAGAGTTTCACGGAATGGGGGCGGGTAGTTTTCAAATGTTGCTCTCTCCTTACCGCCCGCACATTTGTTTTCAAACAAGTAGCGACAGTTCCATGGATTGAGGGTGAGTCCTTTTCAAACTGTGGTTCTCGCTTTTGTACCGCGCACATATGTTTCACAAGAACTGCAAGAGTTTCACGGAGTCCCGTAATCAGCGTACCCGAAATAGCGTGCTGGAAACATTCAGTATAGTCAGGGCGCCACAGTTACGTTGATACGTGGTGCTGAAGTCCCAGGAATGGCGTTCTGGCGCGATTCAAGATCGCAAGACGCAGCAGTCAGGCTGATCCGTGGCGTTGGAGTCCCGAGAATAATGTTTTGGCATTCTTCAGTGTCTTAAGCGGTTGTCTTCCAACGAGTCAGGTTCTTTAGTGGAAATGAATTATTGTAGGGGCCTTTGACGAGGGAGCTTGGAGGGAGGGTTTATTCCAACATCGTTGATGACTCATGGGTTTACACTGGTCCTCCTCCTCCCCCTCCTCCTCCTCCTCTTCCTCCTCCTCCTCCTCTTACCCCCCTCCACCCGTTCCGACAGCACGTGCTCCCCCCCCCCAGCGGATCCAAGGTGGGGGGCGATTGCTGCCCCATCCGGAGTCAGAGCTGCTCTATCGTGGGGAATCACGACCGGAGCGGCCTGGACTCTATCTTTCTGCGGCGCGTCCCGAGCCGGATCGATCTGCGAGGGCCCGGGGGCGGGAGGCCGGACGACGCCGCCCGGTGTGAGACCGTTGCCACGCCTGGCTCTCGCGGAAGGCTCCCTTCCCGGAAAGCGGCGGCGGGGGCGCCGTGCGGGGATGCCCCCCCGCCGCGGCCGTGCCCCCGCGCAGTCGCTCAAGAAGGCGAGAAACAACCACGACGTGCAGCGCGCGCTGGCCCTGCTCGACCGCACGGGGACGCACGCCTCGGCCCCCCCTCGGGCTCCCAGCCGCGCACCGGCGCCGATGCAGATCCGAGGGTTGATCGATTATACATACAGTTGGGGCCCTGAAGAAGGAACCCTTCTGGTTGGGGACGGGCTCGGTGTTCCTTGATCGGGCTGCAGTTTGCCTTCTGTTTTCCTGAGGTTTTCCATGGGAAGTCGAAGTTCAACTCATGGGAGAAAGGGGCCCCGTTCCTTATTTAGGGTTCCTTAGGTCAACGCCCCCACTGTATGTTGGCACTCCCTCCCGAGATCTGGGCGCTGCGATCTGTTTCTCGCTGGGCGGTTTCGCCTGGTGTCGGGCCCCTGGGCCCTCACGGATGGATCCGGTTCAGAGGATGAACAGGTGGGGCCTCGGGCGGTCGTCATCTGTTCGCGGTGGTGTTTTCCTGGCAGCCTCGCATTGCCGTGTTGTCGAGCGTTTATGTGCTGTTCTGGTGCCTCAGGGAGCTCCTCGTCGCCACGGCTGGCTCCCCCTTGAGCTCATGGTCGGAACGCATTCCAGGCGAGGTTCGGGGCCGCTTTTGGACCCCTGGCCCAGGGTCCAGTCGCGTCGTGCCCAGTCGAGATCCCGATGGGATATGGGATTAGCGGAGGGCGGCCGATGTTTGAGGATGAGGAGGAAGGGCGTTCGGGAGGGATGGAGATTAGGTTTGAGGGGGAGGGCTGAGAAGGAGGAGGCGAAACGAAATGGATGATTGTTGAGGTGGGTAGTTTAGGCAGAGAGTTCAGGAGGAAGGAGGAGGTGGAGGATGTGGAGGAGGAGGGGGAGGAGGGAGATGGACGAGGGTTGAGGATGAGCCTTGAGGAACGGGTTTGACGAGGAGTGTTGAGCAGAAGTGTTGAGGAGAAGGGTTGAGTAAGAGCAATAGGGAGGAGGGAGAGGAGGAAACGGAACATGGGCTGAGCACAGTGTGACAGGGAGCAAATTGGTATGTCTAGCGCTGGTGCCCCTTAGCCGATGTTGAGGAAGAGGATGCAGGAGAAGGAGGGGCTAGGACGAAAAGCGGGGAGGGCTGGGAGACGATTTGATGAGTGTGCAGAGGAGCCTTCGGTAGGAGGTTTGATCAGGAATGTTGAGTTCAGGGAGGAGGAGCCGGCAGCAAGAGTACAGTGGTTATCATTATCGAAGACGCCAGCGGTGAACCACCGCCCACTGCCTTTTGGAATCGCCCATGTGGCCGAGCGTTGTGGCAAGAGCTCTGCCAAGCTACCAGACCATGTGTTCCCCCAGCCGTTGTGGAGACTCCTCAGGGAACAATTGCGGGATGATAGCGGGGAAGATCAGGAGGAGGAGGTGGAGGAGGAGGAGGAGGAGGCTACGACGCTGGCTGGCGGACTCCGTGCTCCCGACGAGAGGGCGCAGGGCGTGCACAGGCGAATGGGAGGTCGTGAGCGACCTCCCAGGTGCCAGAGAAGGCCACCCGCGGGATCGCGGAGCTGGCGCTCTCCTCCTCCTCCTCCTCCTCCTCCTCCTCCTCCTCCTCCTCCTCCTCCTCCTCCTCCTCCTCCCCCTCCTCCTCCTCAAAGCAGGAGGAGTGAAATGCCTGCACGGCCCAGCGAAGCCCTTCTGACGACCACCGGGGACGGCGTCCACGGCTCGCCAAGCCAAATCAAGTGCTTGTACGGCCAGGCGGAGCCCTTCTGACGACTACCGGGGGCGGCGTCCCAGCTCGCCAGGCGAAGAGGACACGTGCTTGCACAGCCAAGCGGAACCCTTCCGACGACTACCTGGGATGGCGTCCCGTCTCGCCAGGGAATACATCTGAGGCGGTGCCAAGGCTCACCGTCGGAATCGGCTCAGAAGCCCCAGTCGTCGCATCACCGTCCGCCGTGCACGACTTGGGGCGACAGAAAGTATCCAGCAAGCCTTCAGCGTAGAACCCCCAGAGATACACCATGTCGCTGAAGAGGTGTCCGTCGCTCCTGGGCTCTGCCGCGGCACCATCGACCAGGGCAGCTCTGTTGGCCGCCAAAAGGGAAGCAATGTCGTCGTCAGTCCCGCTGAATTTCGGCCCAGTCTTGAGCACGTCCCCTCGAGGCCCGACGAGCTGCCGAGGAGCACCATACCACTGCCGAGCGCCGAAGCGACGCCCACGAGGCCCAGGAACAGGTCGAGGAATATCGACTCTTGCAGCAAAATGCTGAGGCCCAACCTTGAAGATGCGGCCAGGTTGCCCAGGAAGCAGGCGAAGAGGGCCACCCCAAGGTCGGGCACCAAAGACTCGCCCACGCGTCCCAGGAACTGGACGAGGGATGGCGATATCGGTAGGCTCGAGATTACGTGGACTATCAGCGCGCACGTCCAGACAACGTCCAGCGACTCCAGGCCGATCCCCACAAGCTCGAGCGGCATTTCGTGGACTCCCACCACGCCGAACGCGACGAGGTCCAGCAGGCGGAGGCTGCGCGGCAGGCGTGCCTCCCATCGACGGCGGCAGAGCGCCACCTGCGGGGCAAGACACGTGCGCAGCATCACCAGGGAGTCCAGCAGGTCCACCGTCTCCACGCCGCTCTCCAGCACCAGGAGGACTCCAGCACCCAGGCGCCAGCGGCCCGGCGAGCGCAGGCCAGCCGGCGCTGGCTGGGCAGGACCCAGAGGCTCAACAACGTTACTATTTAACAATGGATGTTGTGCAACATGGTCATACACCGGTAAACTTGCAGCATTTTGATCATCCACCGGTAAAATGTAACAGTGGATGCTGTCACCCACCGGTAATTCAACCACGTCCACCGGAAAACCAACATCCACCGGTATTCCAGCATCCACCGGTAATCCATCAACACATCCATTGGTCACGTTACGGTCAATATTTAACATGATTTACTTCACGCGCGTTTTTTCTCCTCCTCCTCGTCCTCCTCCTCCTCCTCCTCCTCCTCCTCCCCGCCCCGTTCAGTCTCATCCTCCCACGTGTGGCAGGTGCCACATTTGACCGCACTTTCGGCGGCGATCGCTAGTTGAGTACCCGAATGTGCGCTGACACGGTGGCAGGAATTGCCGCTGCTGGCTGGATGAACAACCATGCGTAATCACATGTCCGCGGGTGCCTAACACGGGCGAGGCCGCGCAGTGGCATTTATGCGTATGTGCAGGCGCGCGCGCGTGCCTTGGCGTCGCCGACAGCATGCACCGGTAAAATTGACATCCACCGGAAGCCTAAGTACATCCACCGGTATTCATGTTTAACAGTGAATGCGTTTTTCCTCATTTAAGCTCATGCACCGGTAAATGGCCGACATCCACCGGTAAAACCAACATCCACCGGTAAACAGGCCGACGCGAACGCAACGCTAAAAAGTAACAGTGAAGAGCCTCTGGGGAGCGCAGCAGCCAGCACCCGGGAGCGCCGACCAGGCCCAGGGGGTCGATCAGCACCGCGCCCTCGGAGCATCCGCCAAGAAGCCCTGGCACGATGGGCGGTGGGCATGGAGCCTCGCCCTCCGCGACCATGTCGGGCGAGTCCCGCGGCTGCAGCAGTGCAGCGATCGCGCCAGCCGCAGCCTGTGCGTGGCGAGCCGCTGTGCAGCGCTCCGTGGCGCGGCGTCGGGCCGCACGGGACAGCGAGGCCGCACAGGAAGACGGCTCGGGCGTTGTCGGCATCGCGCCAGGCGAGCGCCTTGGGCTGGGGGATCCCATCGGCGGGCCCCCGCGCCCCCGCGGGCAAAATGGCTGCAGTGGGGGCGAGGGGGGGCCGCGCAGGGAGCCACCTAGGAGGAGGAGGAAAAGGAGGATGAGGAGGAGGAGGAGAAGGAGGAGGAGGTGGAGGAGGAGGAGGTGGAGGAGGGGGAGGAGGAGGAGGAAGAGGAGGAGGAGGAGGAGGAGGAGGAGGACCAGTGTAATCCCAACGCTCATCAACGGTGTTGGAATAAACCCTCCCTCCGAGCTCCCTCTTCATAAGCCCCATACAAAAGGTTTATGGGAAAGAACCGTTCGAAGACCCTGAAGCGTGCCAAAAAACATTCCAGGAACTCTAGCGCCACGGAACAACCTCACTGCTGTGACCATGAATCGTGCCAGAACACCACTTCAACGCCGCGAATCAACGTAACTGTTGCGCCTTCGCAATCCTGAATCCTTCAACACACTTTCTGATACGTTGACCATTGGAATGTATGACATTTTCGCAAAGTTTCAGAACACATGTGCGGGGCGCTGAAGCGAGAGCCGCACCTTGAATACGAGCGCCCTCAGTCCGTGAAGGTCTTGCAATTTTTCCCAACCGTCCTGTGGTGTTGGGCCCTCGTGTTGAAGAGACAACGCCCCGCGTTCCTCCGCTCTTCTCCTTTCCTCTCCTCTCCTCCCGTCTCCTCTTTACTCCTCTCCTCTCCTCTCCTCTCCTCTCCTCTCTCCTCTCCTCTCCTCTCCTTTCCTCTCCTCTCCTCTCCTCTCCTCTCCTCTCCTCTCCTCTCCTCTCCTCTCCTCTCCTCTCCTCTCCTCTCCTCTCCTCTCCTCTCCTCTCCTCTCCTCTCCTCTCCTCTCCTCTCTCCTCTCACCTCTCTCCTCTCTCCTCTCTCCTGTCTCCTCCTCCTCTCCTCCTCCTCTCCTGTCCCATCCTCCTCCACTTCTCCTCCCCCTCCTCCCTCCGCCGCAGTTCGCGTGCGTCTCTCCCACCCATTACAGCGTTTCGTTGCTCCAGAGAGAAGCCCACCGAAGGTATCAGTTGCGCAGTCCGCATGCGGTTCCACCGCCCACTATAGCGTTTCGTGGCCCCATAGGGAGCCCCACCGAATGTCCCAGTGGCGCAGTCCGCATGCGTCCCCCCCCGTCCAGTACAGCGTTTCGCGGCCCCAGAGGGAATCCCACCGAAGGTCTCATTCGCCCAGTCCGCATGCGTTCCCCTCTCACCCAGTACAGCGCTTCGTGGCCCCAGAGGGAGCTCCGCCGAAGGTCCCAGTGGCGCAGTCCGCATGCGTCCCCCCCGCCCAGTACAGCGCTTCGTGGCCCCAGAGGAAGCTCCACCGAAGGTCCC